GGGGTGAGTGGGGGAGGCCGGGGCAGGGGTGAGCAGAGGACACAGTTCTGCAGCAGGGCTTGTCGCCAAGCCAGGTCTCGGCACAGCCATGTCCCCAGGTCCAGTGAGCCCGGAGCCCACGCAGCCAGTACGGTTCACAGGCCGCAGTGGGGAAGGCCGTGCCCCCCCTGCCCCCAATCCCACCTCTCCTGCGACCCCCGAAGTGCCCTATAAAGTCTGTTTTTCAGTGGCAAAACAGCTATGCTGGGAAGTCACGCAGACGAGGAGCAGGCTGCGCCAACGGTGGCATTGGCAGGCCTCCCTGTGCGCCCGCTGGCCACCGGCAGGCCGCCCTGTGCGCCCGCTGGCCACCGGCTTCTGGCACCTGGTGCCAGCATAGGTCACGAGCCCAGGACCACGCCAGGTTGGGGACTGCAGCGTGCAAACCAAATGGTGGCTCAGCAACTCAGTTCTCAGAGCTGGGGGTGGTGGTGAGAGCATCTCAGGCAACCTGCACCGCCGCGTGCGTGCCAGGGCTCTGGGCGGGCAGCACCGAGGGCACCGCCGCGTGCGTGCCAGGGCTCTGGGCGGGCAGCACCCAGGGCACCGCCTGGCCAGAAGGGCTGGCCCTGAGCATGTAGGAGGTGCAGGAGGAGAGGCCCCCTGCAGAGCCTGGCATGGCCAGGGACGCAGAGGACATGGGCTGGGGTGTTGGCAGGAGCAGAGGGCCTGGGAGGGCGCAGGCCTGCAGGATCAGTGTGCCAGGGTCACAGGATGGAGACAAAGGTACGTGTGTGACTCCCCAGTTCATGCGTGAATCTGCCGGGCAGAGGGTCATCAAGAAAGGTAGGAAGTAGAGACTCACTAGATGCCAGGAGGGAAGAGGCGCAGGAGATGGTTCGAGGGCGGAGGCCGCAGAGGGCCTGGGCTAGGTGCAGGGGGCGGCACCGCGGGGTGGACTCTGCCTGGAGCCCAGGGACCTGGGAGAGGGCAGAGGTGCAGGCCAGGCTGGCACGCACAGACAGCGGCCTATCAGGCCAGACCAGGGCCTGCAAGCATCCAAGATGGGCCTACCGTGCCCCCTGGTGGCAGTGTCTTAAACCTACAGCCCTGCCCTGGAACCATGGAGTCTCCAGGACACCAGCCTGCTGTCCCAGGGATCTGGGGCTGCCCATCAGCACCCTGGCTGGCTCCAGCATGAGCCCCAAAATCTGAGCTGTGAACCCAAAAGGACTGGGAGTTTGGCAGGCTTCTCCCAACACAAACTCTCAGAACAGCTTCCTGGCATGGTCAAGCAGTCCTGCCTGGACAGGAATCAGGTTTCTATCCCGTGGCTAGTTCCACCCAAACTCTGACAATCTGCCCATGCAGATTCTAAGTCGTCTACTGCTCACCTCCACTTCCTACGAAAGGAAGCCATTTATCATGGGAATAAGATTGTACCACGCGATCCACACCTGTGACTTCAAGGGTACTGAATAGCGTGGACGACATGTTGGTGCTTGTGACTTCAAGGATATTAAGTATCCCCTGAGTGGCGCCTGTGACCAAGCACACGGATTCCTACTCCCTGCACAGCGCGGCACCCTACTCCTAAGAGGGACCTGAAGGTGCCCACCTCAATCCCACGGCCCGTTCTGTCCCGGCCTTGTCCCTGCTTGTGGTGGTTGTGCCACGCCTGGCCATCTGGGCCTCTATCTCCTCCCTGGACGTTGCGCGCAGGCCCTGCGCTGCCCGACAGGCCCCCGTGCCGGGCGGTGCCGGGCATGAGGCCCAGGATTGCATGCGCTACTCTGGTCACTTGGAATGGGCCTGGCACGTGTGTGGCTCATGCCCTCCCTGGGCCTTCCAACGACCCAGAACTCGAGCCGCCTGAGTGCCAACAGCAGCCCAGACCTCAGGGGACACGGTGGCACACCATCGGCACGGCCAGACGCAGTGCTGATGGGGACACAGCAGGCTGCGTGTCTGGCTAGCGGAAGCAAGGGACGGCACTCTGGCGTAGCCACACCCTGGTGCTGGGAATGAAGCTGCTCCTGGGGCCCTCAGTCCTCACCCCCCCTCCACACTCCCACACCTCTGGGCAGGCTCCTCTGAGAATCTTACCAGAAGCCCTGCCCCAGAGCTATTCCCAGAAAAACCTCACCCCTGCCTTATCTCAAAGTACAGGATCTGCAGCTACCACTGCAAAGACATCACAACCCCAACAGGGGCCTTCCACAAATGCAGGGACAGTACACACCCCGAACTCTTAACCACACACACACTTTTGTTGGTGGTGGTGGTCATGGGGCTTGAACTCGGCCTGGGCACTGTCCCTGAGCTCTTCTGCTCAAGGCTAGCACTCTACCGTTTTGAGCCATGGCGTCACTTTCAGCTTTTTTTTGTGTAGTTTATTGGGGATAAGAGTCTCATGGACTTTCCTGCCCGGGCTGGCTTTGAACCACGATCCTCAGATCTCAGCCTCCTGAGTAGCTAGGATGACAGGCGTGAGCCACCAGCGCCCGGCTTTGGCTTGACTCTTAAGCCTACAAAAAGCCCGCGTTCCTCACCCCTTGTCTCTGCTTGTGCGGTGCCACTTGGAGCCCCTCCGCAGTGATGGGCAAACCCTGAGCTGCTCTGCTGAGGGCTTTCTTCCCTTTTCTCTCTTGATTTTCCTAGCCCTTGGAAAGCTACTCTGACATCAGCTCCCAGGGAAGGAGGCAAAGGGGTGAGCAAAGGAGACTGGAGCTGGCGCAGGACTCGCACCAGCCTGCCTGGCACAGCCAGGGAACACCCGGGAGCATTCATAGCACGGGGGTGTGATCACACGGGGGGGGGCTCTCAGGGGAAGCCTGGCACTGACACCATGTCAGGTGGCTCAGGGACGGCAGGGCGGGAGCAGGGAGGAGCCCCGCTGCCACCGACAAGGCAGGAGGTCCAGGGTGCAGGGGCCAACGCTGTGGCTTCCACATGTGGCTGGACGAGGGTTTCCCGTGACTCACTGAAGTGTCTGCCCAGGTCACACACAGGACGTGCACACGTGTCTGCTGAGGCTGCTGGCCACGGCCGGCGTGACAGACAGGTCCCCAAAGCAGGGGCCCGAGGGGGTGGCAGGACTGGCTCCCTGCCGTGAGGAGCAGGCCCCATCAGGGCTGGGGGGCTGCTGCGGTGGGGCCAAGGGCACGCACGGCCCCGCTGCTCTCCACCAGGCCCTAAACCCGGCTTCACAGCACCTGACACAGACCACACGGCCCAACTCCCTGCAACACTGCCGGGAGCCAGGGTGCCCACCTCTACCTGTGCAGACCAGAAGGGGGAGAACGTTCCAGAATGGGGCAGGGGGTGAAGACACTCAGTCCAGCAGGCTTGCAATCACACACGGCCTTCTTTAATCTTCCTCTATACACGTGGGAAGGTGTCGCACGGTCCCAGGCCCAGACTCGGCTAGGCCCGGGCCCCCTTCTGGAAATGTGGAGCAGAGCAGAGGCCTGGCCGCCGCCCCGCTCCCTGGGCTCAGGCTTGAATGGCGCCCTCACGTTTCAGTGGAGGGGGGAGCTCTCGGCGGTTTAGAAACCCCCTCGCTTTAAGTAGACATCTTAAAAACCCAGACGAATTACTTCTGGATCTCTAATTAGGATTTGAAACCTCCAGCGTTTTTCTTCTTCAAACACTAAGCATCCCGAAGGTCCAAAGCTGGCTGGAGAAGCTGGGCAGCGGCTCAGGGCCGGCGTGAGCCCCGCCTCCTCCAGCCCGAGGCTGAGCTGAGCCCAGGGTGCGGGGCCTCCAGCAGGCGCGGCGGCAGCCCCTGCCCTGGGCAGCCTGGGCCGGGAGGCACACGCCGCCGCCAGTGCCGTCACTTCCCCGTGAGTTCCAGCACCTTCTTCACCATGGCCCCAACCCCGTCATGGACGTGGTGAAGCGCGGTCTCACACATGAAGGCCGGGGTAGTGACCACTTTGTTCTTCAGGTCCACGTGGGCTTCGTGCACGGAAGTTAGGGAAAGCAGCATCGGCCAGGCCCATGGAGGGAGGAGACTGAGGCCCACAGGGGAGCAAGCCACCCATGGGGGGAGGGGGACCACCGCCCACGGCGGAGACCGCGGCCCACAGGGCCCGACCCACTCTACTACTGAGAGCAAAGGGCGGGGAGGCTCAGGGCGCAGCACTTGCCCAGCGAGTACCAGGCCCTGAGTTCTACCCCAGCCCTGCAAAGTCACCAAAGAGGGCACTAGTTTCTAACTCACTTTTTTTTTGTTGGTTGTGGGGCTTGAACTCTAGGCCTGGGCGCTGTCCCTCAGCTCTTCAGCTCAAGGCAAGTGCTCTACCACTTGAGTCACAGCACCACTTCTGGTTTTCGGGCTTCCCTGCCCGGGCTGGCTTTGAACCACGATCCTCAGATCTCAGCCTCCTGAGTAGCTAGGATGACAGGCGTGAGCCACTGGCGCCCGGCTAACTCACTGCTTTTAAGGTGAAAAAAGCTCCAAGTTGCAGGGGTCAGGCCAGCACAGCCCTGGGAATGGAGCCCTGCCGGCCCACCAGAGCTGCCGGGACCCCTGTGGTCACCAGCCAGCAGCTCCCGGGTACTGCCCCACAGTGGCACAGCAGCCGCGGGGTGGCCTAGCGCGGCATCCACCCCTCATGAGCCCAGCCAGCCACAGGACGGCGCGAGGTCAGCACACCGCAGGTGGCCGCAGGAAGGATATGTCCACGCCCTTCACGCGGTGCGTGGCCCCCAGGGCTTTGATGGCTTCTGCAGTCCCGGCGTAGGGCCACTTGCCGCCCTCTTCCTGCTCGTGGCCCACTGTGACCTCCACGCCTCTGAGCACCTTGGCCGCAAGCACAGGCGCGATGCAGCACAGGCTGAAAGGCGAGAGGTGGGGGTCTGCAGGCCGGGCCGGCTGTGGCCCCGGGTGGCCCCTGGCTCTCTGGGGGCGGCACCCCGTCTGGGAACCCAGGTGCAGGCCTCGGGCAGCCCCGGGGGCAGGCACAGGGCTGGGCCCGCTGCTTGGGGTGGTGTCCCCGCCTCTGGTCAGGGGACATGGGGTACACACGGGTGGCCGGCGCTGAGCATGAGACGGCTCATGCCGTAACTGGCAGTTAGGCGCAGGGCGGTGGCACAGCTCCCCGCCCGCCGGCGGCACTGCACGGCACCGGTGAGGGCGGCCAAGGGGACCGAGAGCAGGCTGGAAAGGCGCGAAGCCGTGCTGAGCACAGGCAGGACGTGCCCTGAGCACCGCCAGAGCCGCTGGCGTGGTTGGGACCCAAGCCGGCCCAGGAGCAGCGGCTGCGGACGGGACGCGTGAGCGCTCCGCCGGCGGCGTCCGCCTCGCACCGCAAGTTCTGTGGCGCCGGCCGTGAGGGTGTCCCAGGGCACTGGGGCTCCTCCGCAGGTCCGTGTGGCCCAGCCTCACTGCGGGCAGCTCTAAGGCACTGGGTGCCAGGGCGCCTGCACAGAGACCAGGCAGGCCGCAGGGCTCTGCACCCAGCGAGGCAGCGGCCACAGGACCAAGGCCGGCCCCACGCTGCACCACACACCCGGAGCCGGGCTGACGGGGTCCCAGGGCACTGCACCGTGAGGAGCTGCTCTGAACGGGGAGGTACGGCAGGAGTGCAGGCTGGGGCCCGGAGGGGCCAACCGGAACAGTCTGGAAGTCTCCACTTGGGGAGCCTTCCTGCCTGTCCAGCCACATGCAGTTAACGTGACTGCCTGGCCAGGCCTCGGAGCTCAGCCTGCACGAGGCGCCCCGGCCCCGGCCCGCCACCTACCCGATGGGCTTCCCAGCAGCGTGGAACTCCTTCAGGACTCGCTCCACGTCCTTATTCACCTTGCAGTCTTTCCCATCCACGGCAAAGGTGCTCCTACCACGAGAGAGACCCCCTAAGCAGCTCCCATGGAGCCAAGGGCCAGGCACGGCAAGAGCACACGCCAGACACGGCCGAGCACGGCCGGCGCACACGCCAGACACGGCCGAGCACGGCTAGAGAACGCGCCAGACACGGCCGAGCACGGCTGGAGCACGCGCCAGCACGAGCGGCACCTGTGCAGGAGCACAGTCGCGGGCGTCACCCCATGAGCTGCTCATCTAACTTCCCATTTGTCAGGCAGATGGGCAGGGAAGGGAAGACACGGGCCCAGGCCCTGCAGCACAGGCTGTGAGCACACCCAAGGCCCGGGGCAGCAAAAACCCCACAAGGGGTACGTACCACCCCCCCGTGGGGGCTGAAGGCTGGCGGGCGGGCCCGTGGGGGCTGACTGCTCCTGAGGAGAAGCAAGCGCACCAGAGCCGGCCTGAAACACACTATAACGTCTCACAACAGCTAAGGCAGCTGGTGCCATCTGAACGGATATGGAGGGCGAGGAGTCTGCTCGTGAAAGCAGACAGTCCGCGTGCAGCACAGGGCCAGGGCAGGGCTGAGGACGCCCAGTGGAGCGCTGAGTGCACGCACACGCCAGGGAAGGGACGTGAGGCAGCAGTGGCCTGCGCGGTGGGTGGGGGGCTGGGTCCCCTGCGTGGTGGGTGGGGGGCTGGGTCCCCTGCG